GGTCCCGGCTTCAGTCTCTCCGTGCCGAGGCTCAGCCCCAGCACAGGAGCTGCTGTGGCCGTGGAACAGCCCTGCGTGGCCCTGGGAGAGAACCGGGGGGCTGAGGAGGGCTGGGACCGCTATGGCTTGGGCACAGCGGGGGCTCGTGGCCCCGTAGGTGGAGGTGTTGTGGCTTTGGGCACAGTTCCCTTTTCTATTGCTGGGACAGCATCAGCTCTGTGTTGCTGTGGTTCTCCCACAGTGGGGTACAATGGAACCCGGTGGCCAGGCTGCCTCCGTCCCACTCCCTTTTGATTTTTTTTTTTTTTTTCCAGCATGTCATATATGGCAACCTTTTGCCTCGGTGACCTCATGTTTGGCAGCAGGCCTTGTGACGCGGGCTGGGATGAAAGTGGCTGCGGGTGTCTCGCGTGAGCTGCGGTGCCCACAGCACTGAACGCTCAGCTGGGACCTGGGGACACATCCAGTCCCCAGGGATGGGGGGAATTGAGGCAGAGCCACTGCTGTGGGATGCTCTGGGACCGTGCCCACATCCTCACTGACATAATGACAGCTCTGAGGCCATGTGGGACCTCCTGTGTTCCTTTTGCAGCAGCCCCGCAGCTCGTGGGTCCTCACTGCTGCACCCTCACCTCCACATCCTCACCCTGAGAATGGATGGAGATGCAGCAAAACAAAGCAGGAGGCAGCACCTGCTCTGTGCCTCAGTTTCCCCAGCTGCAGCCTCACTTCCCACAACTCCACGTAGCAGCTCCGTGGCTTCCTCCCATCCTCAGGCTCTGCTGAGAGGCCTCAGAACAGGATGGTTGTCCTTAGAAAGGCACCGGGCAGTTCAGCAGGTGCTGTAAGAGGGATGGGGGCTGGGGCCTTTGCCATGGTGGGGCACTGGGGTGGCCCTGGTGCTGCTTGGGGACAGCAGATCTCCACATCCCCCTGGGATTGGGGCTTGTCCTGCTTCCAAACCTTCCTGGAGGGAAGCTGAGGATGCACCCATCATGCAGGGTCAGGCTTGGAAGGACCACATGAGGCTCAATGATGAGGGTCTGGGGTTTTAGCAAGGCTGCATGGTGCCCAGGGGACCTTTTCCCTGTCAGAGTGAATGCAGCACTTCCAGGACTCCCGCAGCACTGAATTGGGCCCATTTGCCTGTCCTCAGCAACTGCAATGATGGGAGGGGAAAAAATCCCACGGAGGAAACCCCCAGGATGGAGATGCCGGGGCACAGGGATGGAGCACAGCACCTCGAGGCTGTGATGCACCACCCATCACCTGGTGTGCTGTTGGGATGCTGAACTTCTTCCAAATTGGGATATGCTATGATTCTATGACTCAGGTGCACAGCACAGTCCCAGGTCATCCCTACAGCCACCGCCCTCCTGGGCAGGATTGTAGCCAGAGAGGACCAAAGGCCATCGGACCGGAGTCCCTCCACCTCGCTTTTGCTGAACGTCACTTATAAGGACTTGTGTCTCGCCTGTTTATTGAAACGTAGCATAAAAGGAACAGCCTCACCAATGGGATGTTGCCTCCCAAGCATCCCCACATAGATTTTTTTTTTCCTTACAATAATTAACTGTGCTGGGTCCTACCATCAGTCCAAGGTCAATTTAATGCAATAAAACACCTTATATGGCCATATGGCTAACACACCATCACTTAGCCTATTTAGGGTCTTTGTGTAGAGAGGATCCGCCTCTGAGGTTTCGTGGGCTCGTGGTATTTATACCAAAGCAGATCGGGACTCGGTCCCAGAGGAAAGGAGCTCTCACGTCTGCGGTGAGTACTGCCAGCACTGATTTCTCTTTGCTTGCGGGAACAGGAAGGAGCAACCCCCCCCCCTCCCCCTGCACAGCTCTGGGGGCTTTGGGGTGCCCCGGGGCTTTGGGATACCCCCAGCTTCATTTACACTGCATAGGGGGGCTGAGCCCCATCACTACCCCTCCAGCCAGGGGTGTCCGTGGAACCGAAGAGAACCAGGCTACAGCCAGCATGGGTTGCACAATTCCAGACACGGAGAAATCCCTGTCTTCATTATTATTGTTTTATTTTGGACTGTTTGCCTGCTTTCCTCCAGTCCGGAGAGAGCACATTGAAACATTTTTTCCCATTTTTGGGAAAGGCTGCAGAGGGGCTCAGTGAGATGGGATCGGCCACTGCTGGGCATCGCCTGCCCAATTGAGGGGTATCAGCTCAGGATGCCACGCAGAGCTCCCAGCCATGAGCTGACAGCTTTGGAACAAACTTTGGGCATCAGCTGGCACGAGATGAAGGAGAGGTGCTGGGGCTGAGCATTGCCTGACTTTGAGCATCGCGGCCCGCAAAGGATTTTGTAGAGCTGTTCATCCCCTGCAGCAAAAGAACTCAAACCCTGAAACCATGCAGAACCCAACTTGGCAGCCGGGCAGAACGCCGCATCCCCACTGCTGCGTTTAATGCATTTTTTTCCCCCTGCCCCCCACCCCAGCTTTTCCCCCAGGTCCCCCTGAGCGCCAGCCTCTCCCAGCCCCACCATGTGTGAGGAGGAGACCACCGCCCTGGTCTGCGACAACGGCTCTGGGCTCTGCAAAGCCGGCTTTGCTGGTGACGATGCCCCCCGCGCCGTCTTCCCCTCCATCGTGGGGCGGCCCCGGCACCAGGTGGGTACCAGGATGTCTCCTTTCTCTGCCCCTTCATCTGATTGCTTAAATGAGACTAACAAGGCCATTTCTCCTGCTGGCATTAGGGCGTCATGGTAGGCATGGGGCAGAAAGACAGCTATGTGGGCGATGAGGCGCAGAGCAAGAGGGGTATCCTCACACTCAAGTACCCCATCGAGCACGGCATCATCACCAACTGGGATGACATGGAGAAGGTGAGAGCCCTCCTGGGACAGGGAGAGGGGAGAGCCCCGCTTCCATCCCACGGGATGACCCCACCTCCCTTCTGCCTGCGTAGATCTGGCACCACTCCTTCTACAACGAGCTGCGCGTGGCCCCTGAGGAGCACCCCACACTGCTGACCGAGGCACCGCTCAACCCCAAAGCCAACCGTGAGAAGATGACCCAGGTATGGCGCCGCGGGGTTCAGTGTGCGTGGGGGGGCGTGGAGATGTGTGTCCCCATCCAACCCACTGCCCCTCCTCACAGATCATGTTCGAGACCTTCAATGTCCCGGCCATGTACGTCGCCATCCAGGCCGTGCTCTCCCTCTATGCATCCGGCCGCACCACTGGTGAGTCCCACATATGGCGCCCACCATCGGGGGCCCTTTGGATGCCTCTGAGCCCCATCCCTCACCCTTCTTCCCTTCCCAGGCATCGTTCTTGACTCTGGGGACGGCGTCACCCACAATGTGCCCATCTATGAGGGCTATGCTCTGCCCCACGCCATCATGCGTCTGGACTTGGCCGGCCGCGACCTCACTGACTACCTCATGAAGATCCTCACTGAGAGGGGCTACTCCTTTGTCACCACTGGTACGGGGTCAGGGATGGGGGTGGTGAGAATGGGGGTCCCGCAGAGCCATGCTGAGCCCACCCGTCCCCTACAGCCGAGCGGGAAATTGTGCGCGACATCAAGGAGAAGCTCTGCTACGTGGCCCTGGACTTTGAGAACGAGATGGCCACGGCTGCTTCCTCCTCCTCCCTGGAGAAGAGCTACGAGCTGCCCGATGGGCAGGTCATCACCATCGGCAACGAGCGCTTCCGCTGCCCCGAGACCCTCTTCCAGCCCTCATTTATCGGTGAGCCCACCCCAATGCTGCCCCACTGCTCACACCCCAGCGCACCCCACTGCACCCATGAGCCATAGGCAGCCCTTTGGGGGAACCCTGTGCAGGTGTGGGGGGGTTGGGGTGCTGAGAGCTTCCCTCCCACCCCAGGCATGGAATCTGCCGGCATCCACGAGACCACCTACAACTCCATCATGAAGTGCGACATCGACATCCGCAAGGACCTGTATGCCAACAACGTGCTGTCCGGCGGCACCACCATGTACCCCGGCATCGCCGACCGCATGCAGAAGGAAATCACAGCGCTGGCCCCCAGCACCATGAAGATCAAAGTAGGCGATGGGGATCATCCCACCCCAAACCCCCCCTTCGGTGGGGCGACCTCAGGGTGCTTTGGGGGTCCCGATCTCACGCTAACAGCCCCTGCTTTGACAGATCATCGCCCCGCCAGAGCGGAAGTACTCGGTGTGGATCGGCGGCTCCATCCTGGCGTCCCTCTCCACCTTCCAGCAGATGTGGATCAGCAAACCCGAGTACGACGAGGCCGGGCCCTCCATCGTCCACCGAAAGTGCTTCTAAGTGCCCTGCCCCGTGCCTGGGCTGGGGCACCCCGCTCCTCCTCCACCCCACTGCTCCTCCCCGTCCCCCACTGCGCAATAAAGCCTTTTCTCCAGGCTCTGCCCCTTCTCTGGGAGATTTTGAAGTGTTGTGGGGTGGGAGGGGGTGGGATGGAAAGCAGGGAGCAGCGGGGGGAGGAACAGTGCAATCCTGACCCCCAGCCCTCTCTTGGTGCCCCCACCTCACGGTCACACTCTCACACTGCCATGGGTGCCTCCAACCTCTTGTTGGTGCCCACACCCCATGGTGCTGCCCCGACCCCATAGTGGTGTCCTGACCCCATGGTGGTGACCGACCTGATAACGACAACCCCAACCCCATGGCGTTGCCCTGATCCTATCACGATGCCCCAACCCGATCTGGGTGCCCCAGCTGTCGCTGATGGCTCCAACCACGTGGTGGTGCTCTGACCCTACGGTGGTGTCCCCGACCTCTTGGCAGCGTCTCCTCCCCGTGCTGATACCCGCCCAGCCCATCCTGGTGCCCCCCCCAACACCACTCCCTTTCCTCGTTCCAACGCAGCCGAGACCACCCCAATGACGGTGGTTCATTTGCATAAATCACCATATCCCCGCCCCATCTCCCCGCCCACGTGCATTGACACAACGCGACACCGCCCCTACACCCGCGCCATGACGTCACGCGGCAGTGGCAAGCCCCGCCCCCTCATTTGCATGGCATTCGCGCGCGGCGACACCGGGAGCGGCGGCGCTGGGATGGGGCGGAGCGGCGCGGCGCTGCGCCTGGCGCTGGAGGGCAACATCGGTACCGGGCGGCGGGGCGGGGCGGGGCGGGGCGGCGGCGGAGCGCGGGTCCCACGCGTGACCTCCGCGCTCCGCCCGCAGCCGTGGGCAAATCGACGTTCCTGCGGCTGCTGGGCCGCGCCTTCCCCGCCTGGCAGCGGGCGGCAGAGCCGGTGGCGCGCTGGCGGGAGGTGGCGGCGGGCGCGGCGGAGGTGAGCGGCGGCGGTGCGGGGAGAGACCCGCGTGGGTGCGGACCCGCGGCTGAGCGCCGGCCGTTCCCCGCAGGGCGGTAATCTCCTGCAGCGGCTGTACCGCGACCCGGCGCGCTGGGCCTTCACCTTTCAGACCTTCTCGTGCCTGGGCCGCCTGCAGGCGCAGCTCGAGCGGCCGGAAGGCCCCGTGCGGGTCTCTGAGCGCTCCGTGTACAGCGACAGGTGCGGGGCGGGGGGACCCCGTGCGGGTCTGGTGCCGCTGCGGGTGTGTCAGCCGCCTCCCCCTCGCTCGCAGGTATGTGTTCGCCAAGAGCCTGTTCGAGGGCGGGCAGCTGGACGCTCTGGAGTGGGCCGTCTACCAGGAGTGGCACACGTTCCTCGTGGGGCAGCTGGGCGCGCACACCGCCCCGCACGCGTTCCTCTATCTCCGCGCCTCCCCGCAGGTGTGCGGGAGGGAGAGAAGGAGGGAAGGGCCGGGAGAGCCCCGCGGCGGTGCGGGTGCGATACGCAGCGCTTTGCTTCGCAGAGATGCCTGGAGCGGCTGCGGTGCCGGGCGAGGCCGGAGGAGCGCGACGTGACCCTGCGGTACCTGCAGCAGCTCCACGTGCAGCACGAGCGGTGGTTGCTGGAGCGCAGCGCCGAGTGAGGGCCCTGCCCGGTTCTAGCCGCCCCGGCTCTGCCCCTCCCCGGTTCTGATCCCCCGCCCCTCCGCAGGGTGCATTTCGCAGAGGTGAGGCACGCACCTGTCCTGGTGCTGGACGTCGAAGGGGACTTTGAGCACGATGCGGCTGCGCAGGACGCGCTGATGGCACGGGTGGGTACGGCACAAACTGACCTGCAGCCTTCAGCCTTCATCCGTGGGTGACGCTGCCCATCTCTGCCCTGCTGCACAGCTGGTGGCATCCATCCCATCCTGCAGGTGGAGGATTTCGTGAAGGCGCTGCGAGACGGAGCTCCACCACAACAACCGAGTCCAAATGAGCCCCCTGGCCACGAGGATGGGCACACGGCTGGCACCGCTGCTGGGCCCTGAGCTGCACTCCCTGCAGCAGCACTGTGGGTATCCACGAGGCCGCTGGGAGCTGCAGCCCTACACGTGCCACAGATCCCCCCCCACATCTGTTCTGCAGCACAGGGTGAACATGCTTGGGTCCATTCCAATGGAAAGCAAACACAAAAAGCCAAGAAAAAAAAACAAAGCAAAAAATCTCTGTGCTTTTATTTGTGTTTAGGGTACAACAAATTCCAGATGCTTTCTTGGTTTTTTTTTCTTTTTTTTTTTTTTTTTCTCCTTGAAACCAAAGTGTCACGCAGCTCTTCTCTGCCTCAAGCTAAGGAGAGGTGTGGGGGCACCTCACTCCCTGCACTGTGTAGAGGATGAGAACCACATAATCCCCCCACCACCACCATGCCTACTGCTGGGGACAGGGCCTGCTGGGACAGACAGCGGCCTCATCTCTCCCTTTCCTCTTATAGGATAAAATCTCTCATGGGGGTTGCTACAGGTCAGAGGTGTCTTCCATCTCCTGAATCCTTTTTTTCCAGGGCAGGGAGAGCTTTGCTGTGCCCCCAGGTGGCTGTTAGGGCCTGTGCAGGGGTCATGCATGGATAACAACAGCACAGGGATGCTGTTTCTCCTGGTTTTCTTCCCCCTGGGTATCTCTGGGGGGGCGAGGGGAGGGTTAGGGTTCCTGTGCTGCTCACTGCAGTGGGGCACAGTGCCTGCCTGTGGTTCCCAGGACTGCACTACTTTGGCAGGGGAATGGTGAGGATTTGGTGCCCACGGGGTGGGTAGTGTCCCCACATCTGTCTGGATTGGACACCCCTGAAATGGACGAGGGGGAGAAGAGAGATGCAAGGAGGACTCTGCTCTGAGTGCGGGAGGCTGCGGCCACCTGACTGATCCAATGTAAACACGGGTGGGGCGTGTAGGAAGCTGTGGGGGAGGGCAGCCTGGTGGGAGTGGGAGAGGTGGGCAGAGGCAGCCCTGCAGAAGCAGTGGGAGCTGCACAGCCCCCAGAGCCACCCAGCAACAGCAGAGCAGGGTTCTCGGCACGATCCCACAGCTGGCGACCCTACAACAACAACAACAAGCAGTGGGGATGCTGACATGGACCCCCCAACAACGGTCCGGCACAGCCCTGCGGTAACCATCAGCCCCACGGCTGAGTACCGTACAGTAACACCCGAGCGGGACGCCGACACAGCCCTTACAAAGCCATACAACAACAAGGACCACCGCCGCACACCCCCACCGACCGCCCTCTCCCCTCCCCGGCCCCCCCTTCCCGCAGCGGAGCGCACCTCCCCTTTGGGGCCACCTCCGACCCTACAGCCTTTGGGCTCAGCTCTCCCCTCGCTCCCCGCAGAGCCCCGCTTTACCCTCCCCGCACCCCCCCGAGCGGCGGCCACAGAACAAAGGACGGTGGCTGCGGTTCCATCGCTGCGGGCTCCGTCCCCATCCCCAGCCGAGCGGAACCGAACCCCCCCCCCGTCCTCTCCCCTTTTTCTTAATCGGATAACGCTCTTTCTATTCCCATCGGCGGACAGAAAGTTGCCGCTGTGCCTCGTGCTGAAGTTGCACGAACGAAGGCTGAAGTTTTGCAAAGAATTAAGAAAAAAAAACGGGGGGGAAGGGAAGGGGAAAGCACCCCCTTTTGCCAAGAGTTTGGGGTGCATGGGTACTGTTGGAAGCAGGGTAGCAAAGTGAAGTTGTCTCAGCATCACTCCCGTGCTTCCCTCTGTCCCTGCATGAGCCTTTGGGAGGGGGAAGCGGGGTGCCCCTCCTCATCCCCCCCTCCAGTGCATCACTCTCCTGTGGCCATGGGGTACTGGGAGGTGAGTGCTGCCCTCCCTGCACCCCCCCGCTGTGGTCTGGGGCTATGTGCAGGGTCAGAGGGAGCTCGTCTGTGGGTTTAGGTTGCCTTAAAGGCTGCAGTGATTGCCCCCAAAATCTTAGCTGGTCCCCCCAGAATGTCACTGCATGGGGATGGGGATCCTCCAGCACTATGACTTGTTTCTTTCAGCCAATTCTTAGTGTTAGAATGGCAAAACACTGCGCAAGTGCTCTCCCACCCCCACCTCCACCCTCGTGCTGTTGGGGGGCCCCATGAGAAGGGGACAGCCCTGTCCCCAGGCCACCCCACCCTGCCCAGCACCCCTGGCACCAGCTGTGAGGCCAACAAGTCAGGGCAATTTCTGTATCTGCACACGGGACAGAGTGCAGCACTTTGCACCCACATTTCTGGTTTTACCGGCTTGGAGTGGTTGGTGGTTGCAGTGAGCTGATTTATGATATGGCACATACAGTTCTTTAACCATAGGAGATGGTGAAGGTTGGCCCTCCCTTGTCCTTGGGGCTGGTTTTGGGGGGGATTCCTGGCTCTTTTTGGTTGTTCAGAGCGCTGTTTTTACTTCAGGCAAAGCTTTAAGCCAAGAGGTGTGGATGGGGCAGCACTCCCTGCTCGGCTCTTTGGGATTCTGCCCTGCACCAAGTGTTGCTGCGTTGCTTTTTGGGGCCTCACAGCCGCTGCAGGTGGATGAGTGGCTACCCGTGAGGGCAGGATTTTGCCTTAAAGCCACAGGCGAGGTGACAGCTGAGGCCCAGGGAGCAGCTGATTTTGGGGACATCGGGGCTTTCTTCCCCTGCATTGTAAATCAGCCCCTTTGCCTCCCAGCAGCATGCACTTTGCCCTTGACAAAAAGCCATTAAATACATCCTTGAGCCTGGACTTTGAGGCTGCCCATCTGTATCGCTGCAACATTAAAAGCGGCTCAATAAGACACTGCTGGGGATGATGGTGGCAGCAGAGGGGCTTCTCCAGAGCCCCCCACGTGTCAAGGGGTGAGAGCTCCCGGCGGGTCCCTGCACGCCCTGGGCTCAGCATGCTGTTCCCACGTCCCCTTGCCTCTCCCAAGGGTTGGCTGTACCATGACCGGTTCTGCCTGTTCCTCCCTGAGTGCTGCTGGCTGTGAACCTCCTGTGCTCAGCCCTCACACCTCCATCACTCCAGCTCTGCACTTGTTCTTCCTCCTGCTATGTTTCTTTGAGCCATGGGTACTCTTGCAAAACAGAGAAGGAAGATGTTGGAGGCTGAAATTTGTTGTTGCTCAGTGATGCTGCCAATGCCACCCTCCTCAAATGGCTCTCCATGTTCTTGCTCCATTGGTGTAAACAATCAGCATCTCTTCAACTGCTTCCTACCAACACAAAAAGCACACTGCAAAGCCCTGCTTGGCTGCCCCCCATCAGCTTTGAGGGAACAAACCCCAAAGGGAAACTCTGGTGCTGGTGCACGGGACCCTGAGCATTCTGCACTGAATTTGTCCATCTTTTGGGCAGGAGGGTTTCCCTGATTTCATGGAACCATAAAGGTTGCAAAAGATCTCTAAAATCCCCAGCTTCAACCCCAGCCCACACCCACTATGCCCGCTGACCCAAGCGTCACATCTCCATGGTTCTCAAACACCTCCCTGTGCAGCTGTGCCAGTGTATCACCACTCTTTCTGACCAGAAATTTATCCTGACACCCAAACTGGTCAGTGTTTGCTGGCAGAGAAGCTGTGAAATCACTCCAACCCAGGACAAGGCGGGGGCATCCCTGAGGAGGCATTGGGATGTTACACCACCATTGCGATTTTGTGGTGTAGCAGCCTAAACGGAGGCGGTAGACCCTGTTTTATGGGCCGGCTGTGAATTCAGCCACTTTGGGGCTGGCTGTGTGACACCTGCCATACCAACACAGCGCTGCTGCCTCCTCCTCATGCGGGGCACAATGACCACAGCCCAGCCCCACTGCCAACATGGAGCACGGCAGCTATCATAGCGCTCTGGTTCCCTGTGGTACCTTCAACCACCACCCACTCTTTGACGCTTTGTTCCTGCTTTGTCGTGACCCACTTTGTGCTGGCAGAACCTCTTGGCCAGGTCAGCTCACAGCAGCAGGGCCCGTGGCCAAGCCTGCGGTTGGGCCCGCAGCTGGGCTTGCTGTTGGGCCCGCAGCCAGGCCTGGAGCTGGTCCTGTGGCTATTGCTATCAACTTCAGGCTGCGCTGCTCCTGCGGCCTGTCTCTGCTCGGGCTTGTGGCCGGGCCTGCAGCTGGACCTACAGCTGCTCCCACGTTAGGGCCTGTGGGCAGGACTGCAGGACCCGTGGCTGGGCCTAAGGGTGGGCCTACAGCTGGGCCTCGGCCGGGCCCGCAGCTGGATCCATAGCCGGGCCTGCAGCACGGCCTGACTCTGCTCCCGTGCCCACAGTCGGGGCTGCGGCCGGTCCCGCAGCTGCTCGGGCGTCCCGCTCTGCGCTCGGGCCCGCAGCCGAACCCGTGCCCAACCCCTGCGGTCGGCCTGCAGCCCCCCCCAACCGCAGCCCCCCTCCTTCCTCCCCCCGCCACACCCCGCCTCCCCCACCCGCTGCTCCGGGACAGCTCGCTGCTGGCCGCCGTCCCCGGGCCACCCCCGGTCGGGGCCGCGCGGCGGGTGGAGGCGGAGCCCCCCCGCGCCGGGGCGGGCGCAGCGCCGCACAAGATGGCCGCCTCGTAGCGGCGGGGGCAGCGGCGGGGCGAGGTAGGGAGCGGCGGGGCCCGGCGGGGCCGGGGCGGGGGGCGGCGCGGCGGAGGTCGGAGACAAAGCGGGGCGGTGAGGCGGGACCCCCCTTCGGCTGCCCCCCCGCCCTCCCCCCACCACGGGTTCCCCGCGCGCCCAACCCGCCCCGGTGCCCCCCCTCCCCCCATCCTTACCGAAAAACGCCGTTTTTCCGCTTTTAATATATTTTCCGGCGATTCCTACCTCCCACCCCCCCTCCCCTTTCTCCGCGGTTCTCCCCTCCTATCCCCTCCCCGGCCCCCCCTTCTCCCCCCCCATCCCCCCTCCCCCATCTCGTGCCCCGCTGCACCGAGCGTGGCGGGGGCCGCGGTGACGTCACGGGCTGTCACCCCGCACCGGGACGGTCCCCGCTCTGCGTCACTCTGCGGGGTGCGGGGCGGGGGCCGCGGGTCCCCCCCCCTCCACCCCCCTGCTCATCCCTCGGCCCACCCCGGCGACGGCACCGAACGCGGTGGGGATCCTCCGTCGCTGCCGTGTGCCGGCGTTACCGCGAGGCTCCGCCGGGTGCGGGGGTACCGGGGGGTGAGGGGTGGCCCTGGGGATGGATCAGGTGGTGACCCCGGAATGCCACCCTTTGGGGGTGTCCCGGTCTCCAGCCTTGG